TTAGCACAAGTAGAGCCAAAAACAATGTCATCAACATATATCTGAACAATAATGATATGATTATTAGTTCTTCTAACAAATAGGGTTCTGTCTGCCTCCCCTCTATTGAACTGTATTTCAAGTAAGAAGTCAGTGAGTCTTTGATACCATGCTCTAGGAGCTTGTTTAAGACCATACAGTGCCTTCTTAAGCTTGAAAACATGATTAGGCTTGGCAGAATCTTCAAAACCCTTTGGCTGTTCAACATATGCTTCCTCATTTAAAACTCCATTCAGAAATGCACTTTTGATATCCATCTGATACAGTTTGATTTTAAGAAAGCAGGCTATAGCAAGAAGTAATCTAATAGATTCAATTCTAGCTACTGGAGCAAAAGTCTCATCAAAGTCTATACCCTCAATTTGAGTATATCCTTGTGCTACTAACCTAGCCTTATTTCTAACAACTGTACCTTTTTCATCAGTTTTGTTTTTGAAGATCCACTTAGTCCCTATCACATTTACATGGCTTGGTCTGGGAACTAAGTACCAAACATCATTTCTGATGAATTGATTCAACTCTTCATGCATTGCATTTACCCAGAATTCATCCTTCAGAGCTTCTGCAATATTTCTTGGTTCCACTAAAGACACAAAACAAGTGGTTCCAGTTAGTGCACATTCAGAAGATAAATTAGCAATTCTTACCATATCTCTGTAGTTCACTCTCTCTTTTCTTCTGGTTCTTATTCCACCAAAGATATCTCCCACAACTTGAGTCGAGGGGTGATTTTTCTGGATTCTACTTGATGGTTCCTTTCTGCAGACATCATGAGTTGGCTGCAATTCAGCTTCTGTGCTCTCTGTATGAAGTATTGAGTCAGATGTGGTAACACTTGGCTCAACACCCTCTTCTCTTGATACTGGACTGTTTATATCTGGAGCATCTGTGGCAGTAGTGTCTCCTCCGGTTGTTTCTCCTTCAGCAATCAGGTCATCAACTTCATCTTCAGCTGTTTTACTGCGGAGATCAGCAAAATCATCAAATACCACATTTACAGATTCAATAATGGTTCGAGTTCTTAAGTTATATACTCTATACGCATGACTGTTATTAGAGTATCCCACAAATAAACTCAAATCACTTTTTGAATCAAATTTAGATAGATGATCTCTATTATTTAGGACATAGCAAACACATCCAAACACATGCATGTATTCTAGATCTGATTTTTCTCTTAAAAAATACACCCAAGTATATCTCGAAAAATCATCAACACACATAAATGCAAATTTCTTACCACCTAGGCTTTCTACCTCTATAGGACCCATAAGATCCATATGTACAAGTTCAAAACAAATGGTGGTACCAACGCGTTGTAACACTTTGTATGGCACTCTAGTTTGCTTTCCCTTCTGGTACATTCCGTATATAGGAATGTCCTTGATTTTGAGATCTGGAATTCCTCTTATGGCATTGTACTTGTTGAGCAACTTCAGATTTTTGAAGTTTGTGTGCCCTAGATTCTGGTGCCACAGCTCTACTTCACTTACTCTTGAGTTCTTGCATGAGATGGTATCACCTATTTGATAACAATTATCCATTGACCTGGAACCTGTCAGTACACAATGATTTTGATTATCAAACACAGAACAACAGTATTTATCAAATTGAACACGTAGATCATCATCACACAATTGACTAATACTGATGAGATTTGACCCCAATCCTTCAACATGTAAAACATTTGAAAGTTTTGGAAGTCCCTCAATACTGAGTGTTCCACGTCCAACCACTTTGCCTTTAGCTCCTCCTCCATAGGTTACACGTCCTCCATTGAGTGTATGGTAGTTTGATAGAAATTCTTTTGTTCCAGTCATGTGCCTAGAGCATCCACTATCAAAGTACCATGAACCTGAAATGTTAGCATTTAAAGAAGTGTATACTGCTTTGCACATAAGTTTACCTTTGGGAGTCCATATTCTCCACTCATTTTTGGTAAATTCTACCTTTTTCTGTGAGGTGTTGCCTGGAGTGATGTGACTTATTCTGTACAACATTTTATCACTACTGTGTTTTTCACAAAATGGACGAATATGTCCTGGTGAGAAACAGTAATGACAAATGTATTCCCTTATTCTGGACTCTAGAGTGGTGACTGTGGAATTTCTGCATTCTTTTCCATTTGAACCCTTCTCTTTTACAAAGACAACTTCTTTCTTCTTTACTGGCTTGTGTTTCTTCACTTGTTTGTTGAACCCTAGACCTTCATTCTTGTTGTACTTCTCCAGTGACACAATCTCTTCGAGTTTAGTTGTGCCGGTATTCATCCTCTTGATTGCTAGAGTTGCTTCTTTGAGTTCATCTTTCACCTTTGCCAGTTCAAGATCCTTCTTGGTGATACCAACCTCCAAATGTGTGATTGTTTCTTTAAGGGAAGAATTTTCCTTGTTGGCTGCATCTAGAGCTTGAGTCATCTTCTCCAAGTCAATAACCAATTTCTTACACATTTCTTCCTCATCACTAGCTCCTTCAATACTGGATTCTGCTGCATTTAAAGAAATAGAGTTTAAACATGTATAATGATCAGTATTTAACTCAGAAATTTCAGTTACTGAAAGTGTTTCAGAAAGTGTTGCAGCATCCAGGGAAACTCCTTGTGATTCTGTTTCAGAAGCATTTCTAGTGATATATCTGACAGAGAGAGCTTGTTTAGTGGATTGCTCTTCCTCTGTCTGTTCAGGTTGCTCTTCCTCCTCATCACTGACAGCACAAATCAAACTCATTCCTCTTCTTCTCAAGGTATTTGCACACTCATTAGCATAATGTCCAAATCCTGAACAAGCCCTGCATTTAATGTGATTCAAGTTAGGTGGTTCAGAATTTGAACGAACAAATGAAGAATTTTTTAAAGTGTTCTGAGAAGATGTTTGAGGAAATGTTCTCTGTGGAGTAGATCTGTTCCGGGGCTGAGTTTGTCGATTTTGTGGAGAGCCATCTGGAAATAATTGTCTGGGCTTGATTCCACTTCGCCTGTATGCCCTATTGAATTTCTGAATTTGGAATGCAACATTGTTGAGACATTCCTCTGCATCATCATCATATTCCGGAGCAACATCTTCCTTCTCTAATTCTGCCTGAAGTGCATTTGAGATAGCCTTTCCTTTCTCCTTTCTTTGATCTTCAAAGTTCATCTCTCTAGACTTTAGACTACCAATTAATTCGTCCAGCCGTAGAGATGATGTATCTTTGGCCTCTTCAATAGCAGTAACCGTCATGCTGAATCTTTCTGGAAGAGTTCTCAATACCTTGTTCACCAGTGTCTCGTTGCTTAAAGGACCACCTAAGGATTGAAATTCATTAGCTAAATCAATCAATTTCTCATTGTATTGAGAAATTGTTTCGGTTTCTTCCATCCTCAGTCTCTCAAATTTGGAAGAGAGTAATCTGAGCTTGGTTCTCCTAACACTGTCTGATCCTTCACAATGTAGCTGAAGAACCTCCCATGCATCATTTGCAGAAGTGCACACTGAAATCAATTTAAACATTGTTAAATCTACTGAATTGAAGATTGCATTTAACGCCTTTGAGTTTTGATTGGCATTCGATAGATCATCTGCTGTCCACCGTAATTCTGGTGTTGGAGAAACATCCCCATCCGCATCTGTCATCGTTGGTGGCTTCCATCCAGTAAGGATAGATCTCGAGGCTCTCTCATCAATGGCTTTGATGTACGCCCTCATCTTGACTTTCCAGTAGGTGTAGTTTGTGCCGTCGAGTACAGGAGGTCGCATAGAAGCAGTCATCTGAGTATCCATCACGAATTCGTTTCTGAAAAAGAAAAATAGGAACAAACACTTAGTATACGTCAAGTGTTGGCTCTTGATGCCAATTGAAAGAATTTATGGTCCCGAATTCGTTTAATACAGAGGTGTTATCTTAAGTGTTATGACACTTGAACAAACATGCAGCGGAAATATAAAGATAAAAGAACAGTACTCAGAATTAAAAATGTTCACAAGTAAAGACTTGTGAACTTGCCCTTTACAGGACGAAAAATATATTAAAATCAGTATTCCAAGAATACAAACAGAAGAGGTGCGAAAACTTCTTCCTTATGAATGAATCTTTTTCAAGATCATTCTTACAATCAAATCTAGATACTAAAAGAAAAATATTAAAAATTCTAGATTTCAAAGATGTACTCGTGAGGAGTACGTAAAGAACTTATGAATGAATCACTATCTTGATCATTCTTACAACCAAGTCTAGAAACATATATACTAAACAATCTAGACTACAAAGAATGTACTTATGAGAAGTACGTAAAGAATGTACTCATAAGGAGTACGTAAAGAATGTACTCACGAAGAGTACGTAAAGAATGTACTCGTGAAGAGTACAAACAACCGATTCTAAAACCTAACTAAAACACTCGTGTATTCTCTTCAGCCCTCGGTTTTTATTTCATAGAATCGATCATCTTCCTTGAGTATTGAAGTCGGTATTTATAGGCATTCCAAGCATCCACTCCTCAGCCCATGATCTGCAAGAAAAACCAACTACAAGAGCACTCAAGAACATGGGTTAGTGGGTTAGTGGGTTAGTTTAAGGAGTTAGAATAATATTCACAATTAAACCCACTTAAGCACTACTTAGCCCACTAAGCACTATACTTAACCCACTAAGCACTACTTATTCCATAACTAAAATTTAGTTTAAAAAATAAGAAAGTTAAAAACACAATGTGGAGATAATCCACGCTCACGTGTTTCACAAATAATTTGCTTCTTAGTTTTTAATGAATGCTTGTTTTGGTGAAGGGGATACACTGTATCGGTGTCTTTTAAAATTGAATTGTCGTAATGTGATTGTGAATTTCATTATTTTTTAAAACCATGAATCTTGTTTGTAGTAACAGAAGTGAAGCAACGTTTTTATTTTCATTTTGTGTATTTTACCAATGTTTAGTTAATGTGACGCGCTGATTTTGTCTCGTGCAGGTTTTTTCATATTTAACTATGGGAATGGATGAAACTTCGACAAATACACAAACCTCTGTCTCCAAGCATGCATTTTTTGATCTTTCCAATGTTTCTCCATTGGTATTCTTGTATCTTCTAAGAGAATGTTACGCTCATGGTAAATAGAGTGCTAAACACTTCCCTTATTATTTAATATATATGTAATATAACAACGACTTAGAAAATGAGAGGGGTTTAGCCGTCTGATATAGGTAATGAACGTAGCATGGCAATCTTTGTCCTCAAATTGGGTCTTTCTTGATTTAGAAACATCATCTTTCTCTTTTCCCATACCCGTGATTCGGTTGCTTCTCTTGAATTTAGAACTATTTGAAGTTGAACTTCAAATTTTTTACATCTTATTTGAAGTCTATAAAGGACCATAAATATTATCTGCTAAATCGAATCTTAGACACTACTTTACCTTTGGCCTAACAGTTGAGTATGTATGTACTTATTTTGATATAGGAACATGTAAAGCAACATAGAAATTCCATGCATTACAGCAGCAGCTATATCTAGTTTTACTCAATAATTCCAAAGTTGGACCAGCGATTCTAATTGCTCGCTGCCTCTACATATTGCCTACATTTGATTCATACTGTGATGGATTCAGCCATTTGGTACTATCATCTCTTTGCCGTTTCTTGAAATTAGGAAAGAACAATGAAGATTTAATCGAGGCAAAAGTTTGTGCTGCAAACTTATTCTTGGACATCATTGGTGGTACAGTGACTCACGACGAAGGTGTCGTAGTTAAGATTGTTCAGGTTTTTGATTTCGATTTAACGGATATTGATAAAGTCATGCGTCGTGCGAAAACTGACGGCACAGCGAAAGAAGTGGTTGGGAAATACGTTGACAAGCTAATAGACTTGCAATCGTATACGACTGCTGTTGATATGTTGATACACTTTTCTATCCGCGAGTGTGGAGAGTCTTTTTTACTGAAAATGTTGGAATGCCGACAGCAGAAAGTGGCGGAGAAGTGGGCAACGTATATGGGAAAGTCAATGCTGTGTTTGCTTGTCCAGCAATACGTTGACCAGAAATTATTGAAACCTGCTTATGATATTATAAAGAAAAATAATTTGCGTGAGGAATTCCCGGAACTCTATCATCAGGGTAAAGAAAGGCAAAGGCAAGTTTCCCTAACAATTTTATTTATTTAGTGCTAATCAATCACCTTTGATCAATTTGTTCAGATCATAAATTTTTAATATATGATTAGTGTGCACTGAAGAAGCTAGCAGAAAAAGGTGTGTGGGGATATTGCAGAAGCAAGAGCTAAAGGTGATAGACAGCTTATTGAATATTTGGGAAGTCGCTGAAGTTGCTCTTTTACCCATTCGGACCAAAATTGTATGCATCGACATAAAACTAGCTTGCTAATTTGTTGGAGCAAATACATTCGACCAATTTCACATGGTATTTTCAAAATTAACTAAAACTAAAAAAGAAAAAAAAGAAGAAAATGAATAGAACATTTAAGCCAAAAGTTGACATTTCAGGTTTATCTTGCAATGGAAGATGGTTATTATGAAAAGGTTGAAGAGCTCTGTGATCGTTACTCTCAAAGGTTTCTTGAATTCCAAAGGTATGTGAATGAAGAATCATTCTCATCATTTTATTGGGATTTAATTACGATCATATACAACATAACGCCAAGTGAATTTGTCAAAGTCTTGAATTAAAATGTTTTTCTTTTCATATAATTGAATTTTCATATTCATACGATGTTTGCATCCTTTTCCAGCCTTGTATTTCACCATTTAGCTCCTTAGCAAGTATGGTTCTTTTAAAAGGTTTATTTTCAATTAATTTTTTCTATTTAGTTTCATCGTCAAGTGACAGTTTCCGTTATGTACCCTTGCATATCCTTTACTTCAGGGTATATGGAGGGAAAAAACTAAGAATCTCCATTGATGTGAATTATTTAGTTTGTCTATAGGAAGTCCTTTTTTTTTCTTTCTGAAAATTGGCGATCACATTGAGTTAGGTGCTATTTATTTTCGTTACCTAATCAGCAATTTACAATTTTCAGAGCCTGAATCAGATCTTCTAAATCGTCGGTACTTGAACCTTCATGATTTATCCATTGATGATGTTAATGGTTTGCGTGACGCAATACATTACTTTAAGGGATGCAAAGTTGTTGGCCTTGACTGTGAATGGAAGCCTAATTACGAAAAGGGCAGCAAACCCAGTAAGGTAGTTTCAGTTTCGAATTCGATACTCTCCCCCTATATATTCTGCCCTTGGTTACTTTAAAACAAGCGCTATATGAAAATTGTGCTTTCTATTACATTGTTTAAAATGTCTTGAACTTCGAGGAACTATGTCGAGTATTTTGAATGCAGTCTTCACTTCCTATGCGCCTCTGTTGTGCAAGTTTTGTTTCCTTGTCGAATTTATCTTCTCCCCTAGTCATAATTTTGCATATGCGTGTGTAAGAGTGAGCATGTAGTTGTGGCAGCCCAATTGTCTACGTGTCGTCCTTTTGCACTTCTTCTTGTATCTTTTTGACACTTAACTGTTGAATAGTATCCTAAAACATGGAAATGTTAGATTTCTACGAATCTTTTGTCTATGATTCGATCTGCTTGATTTGTCATGTGCCATTTTGCATGTGAATATATGCGTTTGTGCACCGCCTTGCATATGCATGTGCGAGAGCAACTTCTTTGTGTGCATGTACATGTGGATCTCTCAGTACCTTTATGTGAGACTCTTATTAAGGTAAGAATCATTAATTTATTGAGTCTTTCATTCTTTTTAATAATGATAGCATCTTTCTAAATTTTCAATTTAAGAACTATGCCATTTGACTTGCATTGAAAGATTGGGGTAGAGGTTTCTTAAGCATCTAATTAAAATTATTTTGATCATGCATGTAAAACAAGCATATGTCGTGGAATTTGGGGTCGATTTGGTGTTAAGTAGCAAAAGTTGCATCAACATAACTAATAGTAAGTGACATGATTGGTAGCTTCAAATTCAACATATACAGCGAGCTACATGTGGGTAACTCTAGTTTTATGTCTGCAATTATAGTGTTTCATAACATTATTGATTACATGCATTTGTTATTAATATTAACTTGTTTCAAAAGTATTTTAAGATTTTGAAAAGTATTTCACGTGTTTTCGAAAATTATTTCATTTATATAAAAATATTTCCATTACGTTCACGACACCTCAAGATAATATATAAAGGCCATCATCAGCGTTTTCATTGTGTGCAAGATCTAAGAAAATTACAAACATGACCTTGTCTTGCAGACCCGGCCCTGAGAATTTGGGGGCCCTAAGCGGAGTTTAACATTATTACTTTGATTTTTTTAAATAGTATCTTATAAATTATATTGTTATTGGTACACATTTCTAACAAATGTCTTATTTAATAAACAAACTTTTTTTCTATTTTATTGAAAAGAACAATGTGAATTTGAAATATATCAAATACGAACCTTAATGTTGTTGGCTTGTAAAAACATTTGATGACATAATGATATATGCATCTATTTCATGCATAAACAACACATTATGTGGAGGAAAAAAAACAATCGTTGATCAAAATTATTAAAAGTACATATATTGATCATTATATTGTTCGTCTCAACCGACAACAGTTCGTTTCAATCTTTTTGTGATATGAATGTTTAGTTTAAGATTTAATTATAATCTTAAAAAAAATTGGCATATACATTTGGATATTAATAACATACTATAAGTAATTATATAATTAATTCATAAACAATATTATCTACAAAACACAATATTTAAATTGGTCTTTCTTTATATTTTTTGAATAGTTGAGATTATAAAATATTCCATTAACATATAGCTTAAAACAACATCTAATAAAATATTTAAGGACTAAAATGTGCTATATAACTAATTATTTGGGCCATATAGTGATTTATGAAAAAAATTGTGGGGCCCCCTTGTGGGGTGGGGCCCTAAGCCAAGGCTTCCCTGGCTTACCCCCAAGGCCGGCTCTGTTGTCTTGTTACCGGAAACACTAAAAGGTTTCCTTTTTTGATGTTTAAAATGCATGTCGATATTTGTGTAGAGATAGTGAAGAGTAATGTAGAGTGTCTACTACCTAACTTCCTTAATATTACACATTGACCCCGGATTTAAACAAATATATCACATTAACCCCCAATTTTTTTTTCAGAAAATAATTTTTTTTCTCTAAAATGTCCAGATTCCGGCGTTGACCGCCGGAGACCGTTAAAAAAGTCAATTAACAGTTAAATCACTGTCTCCAACAGTTAAATAACTGCTGGAGACAGTAATTTAGCAACGAATACAGTAATATTAATTAAAATATTTTTGAAGAAAAAAAAATCTATTAACAGCTAAATTACTGTCTCCGACAGTTAAATAACTGCCGGAGACAGTAATTTAGCAGCCAAGACAGTAATATTAATTAAAAAAAATTAAGAAAAAACAAAATTACAAAAAAAAAAAAAAGTCAACGCCGGAGACCGGCGGTCAACGCCAGAATCTGTCCGGAAAAAAAACATTTCAGAAAAAAAAATATTTTCTGAAAAAAAAAAGTTTTGGGGGTTAATGTGATATATTTGTTTAAATCCGGGGTCAATGTGTAATATTAAGGAAGTTAGAGCATAATTGGTGGAATTGATAAGAAATAGGGTTAAAATTGGGGTCAAAATTGAAATTAGGGTTAAAATTGGTTAATTTATGAAATTGGGCTAAATTGGGGTGTAAATCATGAAATTGGAGTTGAATTGGGTTTCAATGAATCAGGGGTAATTTTGGTATATATAAAAAGATTTTCCTTATTTGCAAATAAGTTTGAATGGGGTGGATTTATTTGAAAGACAAAAAAGTTGGATGTCCTCTTTTAATTAAGTGCCCTTGTCATGGGCCTATTTGATTACCCCATAGTAAAATAAGTTCTTGTGATTTTAATTTTCGTGTGTCTGATTATTATACATTTATCTTCATCTCTTTTCATTTTCCTATGTTGTTACTAAATCCTCAAGGATTCAAAAGACAGTTAGATACGAATTCAAGTGTATGTTGTGTAGAGAACGGAGCGTAGAGTAGAGGCTGTCTACTACCTAAGACCTAACGACAAATTTATTACAGTCAAGTAATAGCTATGAAAGGGGAATTAAGTTTGTTTCGGAAAAAAACTTGAAATTTGTAACATAGAAGGGGAATTAATAGTCCATTTTTGAGCTTTATGGTAGAGTAAAATGTTGTTTCTTTATTTCGATCTCAATACTTAATAGCAGCATATAGATACCGAATCATTAATTTAGTTACACGACTAATCTCTTTATTGTTCATTTCATTCTCCGCTTCTAATCCTTCTCGTAGTGAATGAGGTTTTTGCTTTCCCTCTTTATTTAATTAGACGACCAATAAGAAATAATTTCATCCACGTGTTTATCTGTCTCATTTACTTTTTAGTCCCTCTACACAAAAATTGATTTGGTTTCAGTAATGGAGAGATTGCAATTCTGACAGATATCTTCATTTTGGTTGAAGATAATATATATATATATATATATATATATATATAATGAAATTTGGTCTCCTAATGCAGGTTTCTATCATGCAAGTAGCCTCGGAAAAGAAGGTTTACATATTAGACCTTATCAAGCTCTATAATGACGCTCCAAGTGCGCTAGACGAGTGCCTTTCCTGCATACTGCACTCACCGAGTACGTTAAAACTTTGCAAGTTATGTCTACATCTTTTAGTACAGAAACACAATAATTCTGTGAAGAAAAGTACACTGTAATCTATTTCAAAAGTTGCATGAATAAAAAAGAAAATTAACTCGATTCAGTTCTTTTAGATTTTAATTTGAGTCCAACTATGCCTTCTTTCATTATTATCAAAGGCATTAGTCTGCTTTATTATATGTTGTTGCTACTGGTATCCTTTTGGTTTTCCCCAGTGGCGAAGCCAGGATTTTATAACTAGAGCTGCAGAATATACATTAAAATAAAAGATAATTTAAAGAAATTAATGACAACAATGATTATACCAAGGTTGTCGACTTAAATTTCGGGGGTTCAGTCCGAATTTATTTTAGGATTTCTTGTTTTTTTTTTTTTGACAAAACAAGAAGATAGGAAAATAAAAATCTTAGGACTTCTTTTGCACTAGTTCGAACTTTGGGTGGACTAAATAATAAAAATTGAGTGGACTAAATAAATATATATGTATAATCTAATGGATTTTTTTTTTCAATGGGGGGTGGGCTTGAGTGGACTCATATATTATTTTTATTTTTTTTTCAATTTCAAATTCTTAAATTTACTTTTTATATAAAACAAAATTGTTAAATATTATAGGAGCACACTAGAAAATACAAATGCAATAAGTTATATTATTAGGATTTTTCATCTCCTATAATGTATTTTGCAGGCTACAATTTTCAGTGTGATGTACATCAGCTTGCACATTCTTATGGAGAATTGAATTGTTTTAAGCACTTTGAGATGCTGCTTGATGTTCAGAATGTGTTCAAAGAACCACGGGGTGGTCTCTCCGGTCTTGCGGAGGTAAATCTTTTCAGTTTTTTTTTTTTTTTTTTTTTTTTTTTTTCGGATTTTTTGATGTTTGTGTAAAAAAGTTTAAAACTAGTTATTATGCATTTGTTGGAAATAGAAAATATTGGGAACCAGTCTGAATAAAACTAGACGAAATAGCAATTGGGAGCAGCGACCTCTGAGTGTATATCAGGTGAGAGTTTTTGTATTTAACATTTTCCGATCACGTTAGTCGTGTTGTGTTCAATGATTGATGTGCATGCTCTTTTGTTTTGTCGAATTGCCTTTTTGTGGACATGTTAGTTAATGTCTTTGCAGCGAATCAAAATTCTTAAGTTTGGAAGTTGATGTATGCAATCGAATATATAAATACAGCTGGAATATGCTGCTCTTGATGCTGCTGTGCTCGTCCACATATTTCGGCATGTAAGAAGGCAATTCGAGCGACCTTCAGGTGCACAAGATGGGCATGCCAAGATAGAATGGAAATCATACATTGTATGGACTCTCTCTCTCTCTCTCTCTCTCTCTCTCTCTCTCTCTCTCTCTCTCTCTCTCTCTCTCTCTCTCTCTCTCTCTCTCTCTCTCTCATTGTATGGACTTTCTCTCTCCAACACACCATCCAACTATATATTATACAGCTTTCCCATATGGACAGCTCAAAAGGGCAGTTAAACCGGAGAAGCGCGCGAAGATGAATAGGTTATGACGTTTCTTCAGTTAGGTAGAGCTAGTGAGCCTATTAAAAGTAGAGTTTACATCTGATTGACTTTTATTTTGAACAATTTGATGGTTAGATAAAAACTTGGATATGTTGGCAAGATACGCTTGTTTTAAGAGAGGAAAGTGTACAGTGTAAAAAAGTGGGCTACTTTTTTCATTTGGATAGTAGTAGCAAAAAGAAAACATTGAAAAACACAAATAATATGAATACACATGCACAAGTTTCACACAACTAGAAATAACACGTGCATGGTCATTTTGTCATTGAAAACGTGTGATTTAAACGTCCAGCATATGAACTATTCTACGATTATGCGTCGATATGTGGTAAATCGTAAATATTTATTTGCTAAAATGCATTGATATACGTTTCTTTTAGCGAAGTTAATCAACACTAGTACCAAGTCTACTAAATAGGTACGTAATGTGAAATTTTTATTTGTTTGTCTGAAATAAGAAGCTAGTTGTTTATTGTTTATTTGCTTGAAAGTGACAAGTGCTGAAACTTTACAATGTTATGCAAAACCAACTACACTACATAAGTTATTATTCCTTTGTTCATTAATCCTTCTTCACTTGAATGAACCGAAAATATTTGCTTCCACACGGTGCATTTGAGTTCTTTTTTATTTTCTTGAATAATTGTTGTACGGTCTCATCATCATCACTTGACATGTAGACTTTTTAATTGCAAATATTTCTTTTCCTTTGTTTGTCGTCTCTTTGTTTACAGTCTTGGAGTTTTTGTCTCCGTGGCACCCATGAGTATTTCATCTTCAAGGGTTTTGGGTTTTTTTTCGTTGGACGATTTTGTGTACATTTTTTATAGCCTTTTGGTTTTTGGCTTCTATTTATTCAATCGCTTATGCTACAATATTAAGTTGATCTATTAACAACTGTTGCCTTCTTGTTAAGAGCAATGAGAAATCAAAACTCCATTCTTGTTTGTAGCTCAATCCCCTGAAGTATTGTGTTACGAAAAAGAACACTATAAATAAAAAAACTCCATTCTTGTTTGTAGCTCAATCCCCTGAAGTATTGTGTTACGAAAAATAACACTATAAATAAAATTTGTTTGAAATGTTGAGTAAATCTTTTTTGTCACCTTCTCCACTGAGATCAAGCATTCATTGCCTAGACATTCAACATGCAACATTGTTGGTTCTTCTATAAGTGCTCTTTAGTTTTCTTGAACAATCATAGCCTCCTTACTAATGAGACAAGGTGGTAGGCCGTTCGGAGGATTCCAGAAAACCTCTGGCACATCGATGTCAGACACCAAGAAAGCAGACCCTCGCCAATACAACTAGGCAGCCATTTGTCATGCTACTTTTCTATATAGAAGAGGCCCCACCGAAGTGATCATAGTAGCGGGTCCTTCCACATCATTATGAAAGAATTACCTCCCTTAGATCTTAGATATGTAAGCTTCCTCGGGTTCTATATGAATAGGTCTACTTCACTTGTTATAAGATGAGCTCTCCCGGGGCCAGGCTCATCAATGGGAAGCTCCTTGCGGACTTAGCAACAGTGATCTTAAAAGAAACCTATATATGTAATGTATTTTTACATTTTTAATTAAAAATTTGAGTAAATGGTAGTAATACTTTTCTATAAAAGGGTAATTATTTGATCTTGTACCTCGGTATTGTTTCCGATGCTTAGATGTTGCATTTTCTACGAGCCAGTGTATCTCCATTCTTGGAGATTGTTGAATTCATTTTGTAAATGAATCATACCAGATGTATAATTTATTTTATACCTTCAATCAGTGTTCTAAAAATCGGCCGAGGCGGCCGATTAATCGGTCGCCGAGGCGGAGGCGGTCCAAAACCTTTACGATTTTAGTGTAAAGGTTTGAAAAATCGGTTTTTTGCCTGTGAGGCGGTTCGAGGCGGTCTGAGGCGGTCCGAGGCGGTCCGAGGCGGTCAAACCTTTAAGGCGGGTCAAACTTCGGTGGCAAAAATCGGCAATAAATCGGTCAAAAATCGGTTTTTTTTTTTTTTTTTTTTTAAATCAAAATAAAAGTTGGGATTTAAATAAAAAAATGAGTTTATGCTTTATTTTGTTTATGTTAATTATTATTGTTAAAGAACTAATGATGTATGCCAAGAATGTATGTAAATTAAAAAAAAATTGCCTTTTTATTTATATTTTATAAGGATATTTATGTATTATGATCTTATTATTATTAAACTTTTATTATGTTATTAGAATATATACATGATCTAGATATAACTATGTTTAAATATTTTTTATCTATGTTTTGAGTATTTATAAATAATATCTACAAATATATTATATTAAATTTTAAAAACCGATTTATTTCCGATTTATCACCGATTAATCACCGCCGCACCGATTAATCGTGAGTCGGTCCCTAACCGACTCGGACCCGATTACCGATTTTTACAACCTTGCCTTCAATAGTGGCTTTCAAAAAATAATAATCATCATATAAAATAGAAGATACAAGTTAGCTTGATTTTAATGACATTGAGGACATATTTACTTAGTTATTTTGAATCTGACCTTAGATCGTAAAAGTATGTTATGTATTCCTTTCCTTCATTGCTAATGCTTGTATTTTCAATGGATCATTAATTTGGGCTAACTCGTGAATAAATAAAATAATTAATTAGCATGAAACTTAATTTATATATTGTATTCTATGATCATATACCATGATTAAAGATGTTGAACTTCCTTATTTGATATAATGAAGCGTTAACTTGCATTATCAACGCCATTGTTGTTTGTAACCAATGTTTTGAAAACCGGACCGGACTGGCCGGTCGAACCGGTTTAACCGGGAACCGGCGAGTGATCAGGTCTGGTTCAACACATAAACCCGTAAGATGCAAAAACCCGGTTGAACAGCAAAAACCCGGTGAAATCCATGGTTGAACCGGGTAAACCCAGAACCGGCCAAAACCGGGTTTTTGTAAATAAAAGGCAGGAAGGGCTGATTTTTTATGGTGTGGTCAGGGAGAAGAACAGAAAACTAAAAAAATGTGGGCAGGAGTTTTCCGATCCACTGAATCTGAGGATTGAGAGCAAATTTTGTATACCAATCGATTAAAAGAAGAAAATATAAGAAGAATAAACAAAAGAAATGAGAGTAAGGGGGCTCGAGTAGGACTTTGGTGGTACTGGTTGCAAGTGAGAACAAAGAATTGTTGGCGGCTGTATGTGGGTAGTTGGGATTGGAAGTGTGAGAGAGAGAGATATAGAGAGACAGAAGTAGGGTTAAGTGGTGGAGGAAAATGAAACGTAAAATAATGAAAAGGTAAAATATTTAAGTTAGTGAAAGTAAAATTAAAATAATATATATATATATATATATATATATATATATATATATATATATATATATATATATATATATATATATATATATATATATATATATATATATATATATATATATATATATATATATATATATATATATATATATATATATATATATATATATATTACTTTTGTAAATTTTTAAATTATGACTGTTCATATATGATATTTTGGTACATTGATTTAAATTTTATGTTTAAAATTTATTTGTTAAACTTTTAGATTGATTATCAATGGTTTCTATTTTTAATTGATATTTTATAATATAATTATATTTTAAACTATATTAAAATAATAAATAAAATAAAATATACAAAAACCCGGTTGGACCCCGGTTGAACCGGAACAACCGTGACCCGGTAGCTTAGCCGGGTTGATGTCCGGTCCGGTTTTCAAAACATTGTTTGTAACTGTAATTCACTTAATAAATATATTATTATGTTACATTTTATGTTACTTATATGATTATGTAAGCGTGATTTTGATCTTTGAATTACAAATTAATTGCCCTGGTATTTTCTAGTTGTGACATGTGCGAGTGAAATGATCGAATTTTGTGCTGCAATTTGTTGAAGTTCACTTCCTTCACTTGTTGCCATGTCCTCCCAAAGTGAAACTATCATTCAGTGACATCTGTAATAACCAAATGTAATAAAATAAAACATATGAATGTTGTTATGTTAATGCATTAGTTATTCGTTCTCTATCTGTGTTATTTCTCATACATATTTAGTAGCCTCCTGTAGTTTTAGTTGCTTTCTTTTCTTTGATATTGATACCAATTCAACATACATCTAAGAGAAGAAACATTGAGTTTTGTTAGTAATATATAATAATCCATTTATGAGCTTATGGGTCTGAAATATTTGTACTTATTGCTTTCATGTTGTGAATAATAGAACCTATATATGTAAACTTCATAAAGTTTGCAATTTATAATATTGTCTACATTGTTGTTTCAACAATTTCCTTAACTGTTGTGTACTTCTTGAGGACCAACTACATTAGTGGGTATGCATTGAAGTAATCTTGGTTACTGTAACAGGAGTTTCGGTACATAAGAAATTTTCGCCCCCGTGCTGTCTGGTTTCCACACAAAATGTTTCACCCTTCTTCTCAATTCTCTTCCCACGAACTCACAAGGACTTTCATTAAAAAAGTAAACATAACAATCATGAGTATGTAGCGGAAAACAATCACACAAAAGCACGCTTACGGGCAAAACTGAACCTTTGTATTATTTTCCATAAATATATGAATGAATACTACAATACACTCACAACATCTGACCTCAGATGCTCAACAATGCAATCTGAATCCCTCTTTGTCTAGATGGTTGGATTTGTGCACAAAAGCCACATAAATACTGGGAAGATGGAATTTTACTCATTAAATTATGTAGGGACACTTGGCGGCACACATGCCTTACACTTGGCTAACTATTACAAGTTATAAATGGGCCGTTCTCATGCTTTCCAGACCTCAACCGCGCCGCAACCGCTCTTTAAGCTGCTCCTGAAGTTAGTTTTAGGGTGCTTGACTTGCCCGGGAGCGTGCGCGCACTAAACGGCCAAGACTGACTAGCCGGTTGCTAGGCAGCCTGCCAGCCGTGCCTTGCCAGCACATGCTGCATGCTTTGCCCGCACATGCTTCATTGCTTTGCCCACACATGATGCTAGCGTCACCTGCATCGGTCTGCTTAGGCTGCTGAGACTTGCATGTGCCATCCTTGCCCACAATCTTTTGCCGTACTGCCAAGACACACTCTTGACAATCCTAAGTCTTGCCCATCCCTTGCTCCTGACGGTTGTCAAGCCACGCCCGTGCCCAACAATGGAGAACCAATCCTTTCATTCTTAGACAAACACTCAAACTGCCCAACATTCGACCACGCATTGGCTGATGTGTGGCTTTCTTGTGCCATGTCTCTCTTGGTACCATTTCTCGGTTATGACTCGGCCACCACTCAAGTGATAGTCGATGTCATCGGCTAAGGGGCTAACAAATCTCCCTTACGAACAGTGTTCGACGCCCTCGTCGAACCGAAAACATCAGCACCAGCCTCTGAATTTCCTCTTTAGTACTCGTCTTCTCACAACTATCGGTTTACTTCGCACACCAAAGAAATCAGCCCACCACATCTAAATTTCTTTGAGTTGTGCTTCATCAACAACACACTTTCCACGAATTTCCCACCAACTCATCCAACTCTCAAAACTCCAAATACAACCAGCATAAAAACAACCTCATCTAACAACGAGTAAAACAACTATCATTTGACACAACTAGCAATTTTCCTCGACTCAGGCACGATCAAGGAAGGAAACTTCCAATCCACAGAATTCACCCACAAACGACTTCCATTCTATCAACAACAGAAATAAAATCGATAAAAACCCAACATGCCTCACAAATTTAGAAAATATCCCAACATTAAGAAAATAACACTTGCAACGTTTTCTCAAATCCACCACAACAAGTAGGGACAAAAGGCATGCCACATCGCCCACTTAAAGAGTTTAACAAATACCTCATCTTGCCATTAGCCTTAGCCTTCTTTCTCATCAGAACACGTACAAGCAAACCAGCCCGGGCGTCCACCGTTTTGTTTTCAACGACTGCAGATAGGTTCGATTACTCCTCGTCGTTCGATTTTTCCCGCAATTGCACCGGAACAAACAATCCCATTTGTTTCTTTCCCGTCTTGTCTTTAGTCATATACGAGCATTCCACGAAGCATGGACACTCTTCGTCCATAATCATCATCTCGCCAAGTAAGAAATCTTGCCCCAATATCACATTGAAGTCATTAAGAGGTACAACAGTCATCCCACACTGCCCTTTCTAAGAACCAATGACTACATTAACATTGGTTGTGCCTTTCACCGGCCTTGCTTATGAATTTAAAGCCTTTACCCGACTAGCATGTTTTAGGAGATTCAAGCCCAGCTTCTTG